AGGTTATACACTGCCTTTTTTTGAGCCCCGAAAAAAAATTGTCTCAGGTCGACCCGGAAAAAAAATTATCTTATAGAATGTGGCCTGTAGAATCCATAATTTCAAACAGTTCCAAGATTGGGCTACTAGTTCAAAAGTTACAGCCCTTTGAATTTTCTTTCGAAATTGGTTTCTAGTCTATAACTTTTGATTGAGAAGTCTGATCGAAAAAGTACGAATTGTTTTGGATTCTACGCACCAAAATTAATAAGAAAAAGTGTTTTCCCGAGAAATTTTGGTGCAGTCGATTTTTGGTAAAAAAGGAAGGTTATACACTGCCTTTTTTTGAGGGCCGAAAAAAAATTGTCTCAGATCGACCCGGAAAAAAAATTTTCTTATAGAATGTGGCCTGTAGAATCCATAATTTCAAACAGTTCCAAGATTGGGCTACTAGTTCAAAAGTTACAGCCCTTTGAATTTTCTTTCGAAATTGGTTTCTAGTCTATAACTTTTGATTGAGAAGTCTAATCGAAAAAGTACGAATTGTTTTGGATTCTACGCACCAAAATTAATAAGAAAAAGTGTTTTCCCGAGAAATTTTGGTGCAGTCGATTTTTGGTGAAAAAGGAAGGTTATACACTGCCTTTTTTTGAGCCCCGAAAAAAAATTGTCTCAGATCGACCCGGAAAAAAAATTTTCTTATAGAATGTGGCCTGTAGAATCCATAATTTCAAACAGTTCCAAGATTGGGCTACTAGTTCAAAAGTTACAGCCCTTTGAATTTTTTTTCGAAATTGGTTTCTAGTCTATAACTTTTGATTGAGAAGTCTGATCGAAAAAGTACGAATTGTTTTGGATTCTACGCACCAAAATTAATAAGAAAAAGTGTTTTCCCGAGAAATTTTGGTGCAGTCGATTTTTGGTAAAAAAGGAAGGTTATACACTGCCTTTTTTTGAGCCCCGAAAAAAAAAATTGTCTAGATCGACCCGGAAAAAAATTTTCTTATAGAATGTGGCCTGTAGAATCCATAATTTCAAACAGTTCCAAGATTGGGCTACTAGTTCAAAAGTTACAGCCCTTTGAATTTTTTTTCGAAATTGGTTTCTAGTCTATAACTTTTGATTGAGAAGTCTGATCGAAAAAGTACGAATTGATTTGGATTCTACGCACCCAAATTAATAAGAAAAAGTGTTTTCCCGAGAAATTTTGGTGCAGTCGATTTTTGGTAAAAAAGGAAGGTTATACACTGCCTTTTTTTGAGCCCGAAAAAAAAATTGTCTCAGATCGACCCGGAAAAAAAATTTTCTTATAGAATGTGGCCTGTAGAATCCATAATTTCAAACAGTTCCAAGATTGGGCTACTAGTTCAAAAGTTACAGCCCTTTGAATTTTTTTCGAAATTGATTTCTAGTCTATAACTTTTGATTGAGAAGTCTGATCGAAAAAGTACGAATTGTTTTGGATTCTACGCACCAAAATTAATAAGAAAAAGTGTTTTCCCGAGAAATTTTGGTGCAGTCGATTTTTGGTAAAAAAGGAAGGTTATACACTGCCTTTTTTTGAGCCCCGAAAAAAAAATTGTCTCAGATCGACCCGGAAAAAAAATTTTCTTATAGAATGTGGCCTGTAGAATCCATAATTTCAAACAGTTCCAAGATTGGGCTACTAGTTCAAAAGTTACAGCCCTTTGAATTTTTTTTTTCGAAATTGGTTTCTAGTCTATAACTTTTGATTGAGAAGTCTGATCGAAAAAGTACGAATTGTTTTGGATTCTACGCACCCAAATTAATAAGAAAAAGTGTTTTCCCGAGAAATTTTGGTGCAGTCGATTTTTGGTAAAAAAGGAAGGTTATACACTGCCTTTTTTTGAGCCCCGAAAAAAAAATTGTCTCAGATCGACCCGGAAAAAAAATTTTCTTATAGAATGTGGCCTGTAGAATCCATAATTTCAAACAGTTCCAAGATTGGGCTACTAGTTCAAAAGTTACAGCCCTTTGAATTTTCTTTCGAAATTGGTTTCTAGTCTATAACTTTGATTGAGAAGTCTGATCGAAAAAGTACGAATTGTTTTGGATTCTACGCACCAAAATTAATAAGAAAAAGTGTTTTCCCGAGAAATTTTGGTGCAGTCGATTTTTGGTAAAAAAGGAAGGTTATACACTGCCTTTTTTTGAGCCCCGAAAAAAAAATTGTCTCAGATCGACCCGGAAAAAAAATTTTCTTATAGAATGTGGCCTGTAGAATCCATAATTTCAAACAGTTCCAAGATTGGGCTACTAGTTCAAAAGTTACAGCCCTTTGAATTTTCTTTCGAAATTGGTTTCTAGTCTATAACTTTTGATTGAGAAGTCTGATCGAAAAAGTACGAATTGTTTTGGATTCTACGCACCAAAATTAATAAGAAAAAGTGTTTTCCCGAGAAATTTTGGAGTAGTCGATTTTTGGTAAAAAAAGGAAGGGTATTCAAATACTATTACTTCTCAAAGTATTCAAATACCTTGCGAAGTATTCGAATACTTTACGAAGTATCCAAATACTTTGCGAAGTATTCGAATACTAAATATTTGTGAAAGTATTTAATTACAAAGTATTTGAATACTTTAAAGAATTTGAATACTAAAGAGTATTTACAAAATCGAATACTGCCCAGCTCTGGACTGTTTTCAGTGCAATTGCTTTACATTTACCTACATGTGTGTGTACCAATTTAATTTTCTTTTAATTAAATTGCGAGATACACGGTTGTTGCTTTCGTGGCCCACCAACGAATGCCTTCACAACAACTCCACGCTAACTCCTACCTATTTTTTTTTATTAATCATCACCTTGGCGTCTATAGGTGAACCATTTTTTCTAAACAACTTTTCTTGTCACCTGTAACTAATATAGATTGCTGAAGGGTTGGGTGGTAGAGCAGACGGGGTTATCTTGCCAGCTCCAGTCTGAACCACTCCCAATCCAGTTGTTTCTTTTTTTTATAAATTGGCGCTAGTGAAACACTTTTGAAAGCCAAACAGGAACACATCATACCTGAGAATAATTTTCTTATTTTTGCTTGATTATATTTTAAAAGGAATTTGTACTAGACGAAGATCAGGCACCACGATTTTCTTCGATCCTGGTACAACAATTTTTATAAAAAGAAAATGGAATGGAAATTGGAACTTCGGCAATTCATTCGGTGAATTGCTGTAATCGGGACGTAGTTTTTGCGAACGGGTAATCCCTGTGTTTATGGATTGCAGGTCAACTAAACCTTATTATCACAACACGAGTTTTATAATGGTTCTAAACTTTTTTTGTGTCTTACCATAGAAGGAGAAATTTCCACCACGCAAGACACTTTTATGAATATTTATTTGAATACATGTATTTAAGACCAATTTATTTATTTACGAATTCTGACTAGAAAGGTCCCTTTTTTGCACTTTCATACTCGCTGGAATAACAATACAAACAATTTTTCTTTGTAGCAAACGAAAAATACGGCACTGGCACGTTTAATTGATTTGTCCTCGACTGAATACCGTAATAATTTTACGCGATGCTAATACTCCTACCTAACTGCTCGAGATATTCTAACGTCTTTTTTACACAACAATTCCTCTCTTTAACGTTAAAACTAATTCACTTCTTGTGTTTAGCAGTATGGCTACGGAAATCGCGATTCAAATTCTGTTTCAAGAAAAAAATACACACAGTCACAACTTGGTCTTCTAATGCCTGAAGAAACGAAGAAACTTTCACTTTAGCAAAGTTCGCACGAAGCCAAGGGGTGTGAGAGAGAAAATAGTGTCACGTCTGTCGACACTCACTAAGTGCCACTTTCGAATTTTTGACCTTGTAGAAACGTCTCGGTCGCATAGTGACTGGTCAGTTCTGAGAAATACTACAGAACGCGCTTAAACGTATTAAAAATTCAGTAACACCATCTGAGCCGGTCCAAATCAAGACTATAAACCTCTAAAGGGAGGCTAGAAATCCACGCAGACGACCTATAGATCACGAGTACCTGTAAATATCTCATATTTTTCTGAAAAGAAAGACTTTAGATAGGTGCATAGAAAACTCACAAAATGGCATAGAAACTTCTGAAGGGGAAACGGTTAGTTACATTACATAGTGAAGTATAATCCTCACTTACATCTCGAGATTAAGTATAATCCCGAATTATATCTCGACTTATATCTCGGGATTACATAATTTGAACTACCTTGTCCGTTCTAAGCTTTCGTACTTTCGTACCTTTTTAATAAAATTACAAAAAATAAAGTATTTGCCCGTATCTGATAAATTACGGCGTGCAGAATTCGAATGCACTGTACCATTATGAAAAAATCAAGGAAATATCAGGCAAAAATTAGAGGTTCAAATTTTAAATAAATCGTACGATACGTGGAACAGTTTGGTGGAATAATAGATCGTTTTTTTGTTCTGCGATTTTTAACTCTATGGGGTATTGTTCTCATAATGGATTCAGGAAGTCTGACGACAGAATGTCCTAGTAACAAGAGCTCAAATGTTTAATTTAATGGGTGTTATCTGCTCCAATGACTAAACATTAGGTCATCTATGTATGGGGTGAAATGTAACGTGGCATATTTTATTGTACGTGAGATTAACCTCTGATTTAATTCATAGGTCAGGAACGAAAGAAATGGATCAGTGTTTAAAGGTGTCCGTTTGTCATTAAAGAATCCATTTTGTAGGCGTTAATTAATCAGTAAGAAATGAAGTGCGGGTTATTCGGGGGGATTTAATATTCATTCGCGCCTGGGCCACTGGTGTATAGACTGTGTGGTTTCCTTAATAGTTTCGTTCGAGCGCTAAAACGGATCTCGAACATTTTTAAGGATAATTAATCCGAGGAAGTCTTAGAAGAGTATTTCGGACGGGATATAACATGAAGTAACGACCTAGTTGTGTCGAGAGATCATTTCGTTCGGGTTTATCCAAGACTAAGCTCTCGAATTTGGGCTCCGCAAGAATCATCAAGAGGAATAATCTGTACCAAAAACCCTTTACGTTCGATCTCGTTTATTCATAGACGAATTCTAAGCTACCTTTGGGTCGTTTCCCATCGTTGCGATTCTGGAATACTAGAACCTCTTTTTTTAAATAAACTAAACCACATTTCAGGTACATTTCACATAGGTTTTTCAATTTCCTTTTTTGAAAATATTATTTCCACTTCGTAAGGCGGTTTGCTATCCTCAATCGCCCATAATGAACCGTTTTTGCCTTCGCGAATCATCCTTACAGCTGCTTTCGCAACATGGTCCGCCCTATAATTTTTGGTATAAGTTTTTGGCAGCTATTAAGCAAGCGGCACGTACGATTGACCAACCGGTTGCTCATCCATATCTATCTGCCTTTGAAGTTCTGCATACTCTGGATTGAGAAACGCGGCATCATTCCAAAGTACCATTTCGGTATCGGTACGATTCGGACAAAGCGCTATCACTCTAACCTTTTTTCGCTCGTAATGCACCTCCTGACCGAAGGTGCGAGTTAGATGAGCGACGCCGCTTTTTGTTGCACCGTAGATTGGAATTACAGGATACAGCGTGAAAGACCCAATAGACGACATATTTAAAATGACGCCCTCGTGCCCGCTTCGACTGTTGGGGAGGTATTTTTCGAAAGCTAGCACAGTTCCATTAGTTGTCCCAACCTTGAAAACAACAACCTTGACTTTCCGAAAACGAACCAGTGACTTACCAAATTTACACCAATTTCCTCTTCCCAGTTTAAATCGAGACATACTCCCGCGTTGTTGACCACAATATCCAAATTTGCAAAAGTCGCGATAGTTTTTCTGAAAGCGTCTTCCATCTGGGCTCTACTTTTAACGTCCACCTTCAGAAACATCGCCTTTCCGTCACCGAACTCATCGTGAATTTCACGCACGACTTTCTCGCCGGAAACGTTGTTTATATCCAGGATAGCAACAGCCTGATAACAGTACTCAGTGTCATTTTAACAAATCAATGTTACCTTGGCCCCATTCCGTAGCAGCTCCTTTACTATGGATAAACCAATCCCTCGAACACCTCCCGTTACTAGCGCAACCTTTCCGGTTACGTCAAACATTTTTGATGGTCTTCTTGCTAGTGGAATGTTTCGGAACGTATTACTCAACGTTGTGATAGATTTGTGACCTTTCACCAGCAAAGGTCACTTGATCCCAACTTTTTTTAAAGATAAATCCCGGTTGTAAGACAAGATTGAATTGGGTTTATTTGAGTACTTTTATCTACACCAATTACTAATGTAACCTCCAAGTGTACTTGGACGGAGTTGATCTGCTACTGAGGTGAGATGTCAACTTTTTGATGGCTCCATAAGGGGAAAAGATAGTCAACATTGATAAACCCTAAGGTCATTATTCCGCAACATTACTTATTTGTTAGTCACCAATTAGGTACCATAGTGTGGAAGTACAGCGATGTTTGAAATATACGGGAAAGTTGCATTGGTAACGGGGGGTGCTGGAGGAATTGGTTTGGCAATTGCAAAGGAGCTTCTTAAGAATGGACTGAAGGTAAGCACACGTACACTTTGCTCTCTCACAGTATCAAACGTAGGGGGTCGCTATTGTTGATACCAATCAACTGCGAGGTAATGCAGCTCTGCATGATATTCGGCAAGAATTTGGAGAGGGTAAAGCAATATTCCTACACCACGATGTATCTGTCAGAAGTCAATTTGAAGGTAGCAAAGTCTTGATGAGGCCTTGAATTAATTTTTCAATTTCAGATGCCTTTAAGGCAGTAATTGAAGCGTTCCAAAATTTGGACATTGTGGTCAACAATGCCGGTATCTATAATGAGAAGGATTGGGAACGAACAATCGCCGTAAATCTGGTAAGCAGCCCCTAACTCGGATTACTCTAAGTGAGTGCATTATAGATGGGAACAGTAAATGGAACAATGTTAGCTTTAGAAAATTACTTACCGCAAAATAAAAAAGGGGAAGAAGCTGTAATTTTAAATGTCTCCTCGATTGCGGCGTTTTTATTTTGTCCTGCGGCTCCATCATATACTGCTAGTAAATGTGGCATATTGGCACTAACTTCTTGTATGGGGCAGCACGCACACTACCAAAGGAAAAAAGTAAGGGTAATGGCAATTTGTCCTAGTACCACTGCTACAGAGTTGTACACTGAAAGAAAAAGTACAGCAATAAATGAGGAATACGTAAAGTTATTGGAGGACTTCATGGAAGGAGGAGGGATGACATATGAACTACAGTGGTACGTATAACGTCTCCGTTGATAATCTTCACCGGTTTGATGCAGGCCCGAAGACGTCGCTAGGGGAGCGGTACAAATAATTAAAGAAGCTAACAATGGGTCCATATGGATGGCTGAGGATAAAAAACCACCCTACGAAGTAGATTTCGTTGCCATGAATCAAGTTAAACGTTAATTTTGTTAATTTCTACTCAGTAGCTGTAGTTTCGCGTTTCTATCCTAATCGGGGAACCACCTGCCTGCTTTTACAAAACCAATAAAGTTTTGGTGTTCAGAACACCTACACGATCCTTGATCGTCATTGTTCAATTTCTGTGCTTATCTATTTCTAAGCTCCCCCAACAAACTTATTACTTAACTGTCTAACTACTTAAAGATATATTATAAACTCTGTAATGATTTTCAAGCGTCTTTCAGGCAACGGTTTACTTCTCATTTTAAATGAGCTAAATTTGAGTGATTCATGAGTTTTGGGAAGGTGTAACGCCTAGAACGCGTGAAATATTTTTTAATGATTCTGTTCAAAAGCTCATAAAAATATACCCCTTAGCCGTTCTTACATATTGTAACGTGATTTATAAATTCGGGTTCGGTTTATATCAATATTTATTAAACAAAACTAAAACACTATAAAAACTGTACAATTTATATCGACTATTTATATCACACACTTCGCAGTTTATATTTTCGCACTCGATGTTTCATCCGTACTCGATCTCGTTCGGTAGTAAACTGCCTGCGATGTTCGGTCCGCAACCATTTATACACGCAAGCAATGTAAGTCCAGAACACTCGCGTAATTACCAGATACGTCGCAAACATTCCCACTATCGCGCGCCTAGAAAATTCCAGAGCGCCAAAGGCGACGTCATGTCTGGAGCGTTTCCGTTACAATATATATATTCACGGATTTAGAGAGGCAGCACGCCAAGTGTTCTTATTTTTTTTATTAACTGTCCTAGCTTCAGTATCAACCTTTCAAATGTGCATCAAAACCCCTTAACCGCTTTATATTAAGTTGTAGCCGTATCAGGTAATTGCCATTAGACACTTGGGAATTAGAGCCGCTTCAAATACATTTGATTAATCTGTGATAACTTATCTGATTGTATGGGTGATTCGTCTGAGGTCTCACCGCAATCATCTCAGCTATTGCGGAACAAAAAAGACGCTCTGAGAATCACGAAAACAAAGCTAAACGCCAGCATTTCGCAAACCCATTTTTCTTTCCCTTTGTAAGTTTGTAACAGCAGTTCTTCACATCTTCAAAAAATTAAATTAAATCTTTGGTTGCACATTTACCAACCAGCAAACTTTTAGTGTTATTGGAACTGTGTCAGTTCCTATGAGGCTTCAGTATCGGGTGAGGATAATCGATATGGGCCATAGAAAAATTATGGTAGGAGAGTTGGTAGACGTTTTTGTGTAGGTAGGTATTTGAGGCACGCTGAAAACTTCTCCAATAATACCCAAATACAGAATTGCAGCCCTGGCTGGGGAATAGCGGGGCTAATTCAACCCTAATATTTTTAAAGATACGTATTTTTTTTCATAAAATATTCTCGAGGCATTCCGAAATATTTATTACCTTTAAATTTGATATTTAAAGATCGAGAGAATCAATAAGCCAGATCATTTAGTGTGGTTTTACACTTTGCCAGGTGCCTTCAAAGTTTGAAAGAATGTATACTGGCCGCCATAAATACATGAACACTTTGATCAATTTTAATGTAATTTTCGGGACAAATGTCTTTATTAACTAGCTCCTAGCGATGTCTGTCCGTTAGCACAGTATCTCGAAAAGAGTGGACCGATTACGATGAAATCAAAACCTTTCCTACCTTTCGGTGTAAAGGTACAATACTATTAATTACAGTTTAGAATTATGACTCAAACTTAAATTACTCTATTGAAATATACTAACTCAAACAAATTACTCCAATCAAATCATACAAATAGGAAATTTTTTACGATCAAACAAAATGTCTTTTACTTATAAACAAAACTGTCAACTCCTTTTTGTTTAGTGATAGTCTTTTAGCTTCACTCCACGTCTTACCTCTTGATTCCAACATGTTTGTCATTACCCTGTCCCACGTCTCTTTAGGAATGCCTCTCATCCTCTTGTTTTGGGTTCTTGCTTCCCACACCTGTTTTGCCTGTCTCTTAATTGCTGTCCATTCTTTGCAGATGGCCCTACCAACTCAGTTGCCGATTTTCTATGTATTTTAATAACCCCTGTATTCCTATTTCCTCTCGTATTTGATCATTTCTGATTCCGTCCATTCTTGTAATTCCTTTGACACGTCTAAGAAACTTCATTTCCGTAGCCTGCAGTTTACTTTTTTGGTTTTTTGTTAACACCCATGTTTCACATCCATATGTCAATGTTGCTCTTAATACAGTTATATACACTTCCTTTTTATTTAGACTATCCCATATTCTATCCCTAGGCACTGAATCAAAAGCCTTCTCTAAGTCGATGAAGGCTAAATATTTCTTCCCACTATTCCCGTTCTTTTCGATTAATTGCTTAATTGCGAAGATATGATCTTGTGTGCTCCTACCTCTTCTAAAACCACATTGCGCTTCTGTAAGGGTTTCTTGTGTTGTCCATTTCAGTTTTTTGTTTATAATTTGTTCGTAGACTTTCATCACACTACTAATTAATGTTATTCCTCTTCCTCTATAGTTTTTACAGTTCTTCGTATCTCCTTTTTTATGTAGTGGAACAATGATGCCAATCTCCCAGTCCTTATAGGTATGTTTTCCTCCTCCCACGCTTTATTGTATTTTTTTTCGGGGCTCAAAAAAGGCAGTGTATAACCTTCCTTTTTTACCAAAAAACGACTGCACCAAAATTTCTCGGGAAAACACTTTTTCTTATTAATTTTGGTGCGTAGAATCCAAAACAATTCGTACTTTTTCGATCGGACTTCTCAATCAAAAGTTATGGACTTCTAAACTAATTTCGAAAGGAAATTCAAAGGGCTGTAACTTTTGAACTAGTAGCCCAATCTTGGAACTGTTTGAAATTATGGATTCTACAGGCCACATTCTATAAGAAATTTTTTTTCCGGGTCGATCTGAGACAATTTTTTTTGCGGGCCTCAAAAAAAGGCAGTGTATATAACCTTCGTTTTTTACCAAAAATCGACTGCACCAAAATTTCTCGGGAAAACACTTTTTCTTATTAATTTTGGTGCGTAGAATCCAAAACAATTCGTACTTTCTCGATCAGACTTCTCAATCAAAAGTTATAGACTAGAAACCAATTTCGAAAAAAAATTCAAAGGGCTGTAACTTTTGAACTAGTTGCCCAATCTTGGAACTGTTTGAAATTATGGATTCTACAGGCCACATTCTATAAGAAAATTTTTTTTCCGGGTCGATCTGAGCCAATTTTTTTTTCGGGGCTCAAAAAAAGGCAGTGTATAACCTTCCTTTTTTACCAAAAATCGACTACACCAAAATTTCTCGGGAAAACACTTTTCCTTATTAATTTTGGTGCGTAGAATCCAAAACAATTCGTACTTTTTCGATCAGACTTCTCAATCAAAAGTTATAGACTATAAACCAATTTCGAAAGAAAATTCAAAGGGCTGTAACTTTTGAACTAGTAGCCCAATCTTGGAACTGTTTGAAATTATGGATTCTGCAGGCCACATTCTATAAGAAAATTTTTTTTCCGGGTCGATCTGAGACAATTTTTTTTCGGGGCTCAAAAAAAGGCAGTGTATAACCTTCCTTTTTACCAAAAATCGACTGCACCAAAATTTCTCGGGAAAACACTTTTTCTTATTAATTTTGGTGCGTAGAATCCAAAACAATTCGTACTTTTTCGATCCGACTTCTCAATCAAAAGTTATAGACTAGAAACCAATTTCGAAAGAAAATTCAAAGGGCTGTAACTTTTGAACTAGGAACTGTTTGAAATTATGAATTCTACATACCAATCTCCCAGTCCCTATAGGTATGATTTCCTCCTCCCACGCTTTATTGTAGATTGCCTGTAGTAATTCTGTCCCTGCTGCCCCCACATATGTGTATTTTCTAGTAATCTTTTAAAATAATTTCTCCATTTTTCCATTACTTTTTCCTCATTTTTGATAATTTCTTCGTCAGCTTGAATTGAAGTGTGTGTTGCTTTTCCTTTTCTGAGATTCTTTAACACCTTATAAAACAGTTCTTGGTTACCTTTACTGTGTTTTTCTAATTTCTCTCCGAATTCTGTTTCGCTGCCGCTATACTTTCCTTCACCGCTTTTCTTTGTTCTTTGTAGATCCTATAATTTGTTTCCTTTCTGTTTTCCAAATATCTTTGCCACTTCCCCTTCTTTTTTTGGACCTGTTTTATTTCTTCGTTCCACCAAGGTATTTGTTTACGTGTATTAGTTGTTCTGCATACTCCACATACTTCCACGGCTGCATCTTTAATACTATCCTTAAAAACACGCCACATCTGCTCCGTATTATCATTTATTGTGCTTATTATCTTTGTTGTAATATTTCTTTCTACAGTTTGCGCATATATCCTTGCAATATCTTTTATTCGCCAATTTGTATGCTCTTTATACTTTTGAACTGTATGCATCTTTTTTCTTCTTCTATCGTTCTTTGTTCTCCTACTACAACTTTTGCTACCAGTAAATAGTGATCACTGCTGATTTCGGGTCTCCGTCTCACTCTGACGTCCTTTACTGATTTTCTATTTGCCTTCTGCACTAATACGTAGTCTATTATCGATTTCTCGTTTCGGCTATGTTCTACTCTTGTATATTTATGTATCTCTTTATGCTCGTAGAACGTGTTTGTTACAATACGGTTGTTTCTTTGCCAAAAATCAATTAGCCTTCTTCCGTTATTATTCCTTACATATTCTCTGTGATTTCCGATAATAACTTTTCTTCCTACTTTACCATTAAAGTCGCCTAGTTACAGCGTAGCTTTAACCATATAAAACGAATGCACGTATAATAATGCCAAACTTGTGATCTAGCAAGTTTATTAACATCGTTACTATAAACAACGCATTTTATTTAAACACCTAATGTGTCTCGGTCATAATTTGGTCGTATCCAAGCGAATCTCACTGTCCTTTTCTTTTGGGAGTAAAAATTGTACCGAAGGGCTTAACAGTTCGGGACGAACTGGTGGATTGTTCTTTCTAGTTAACCAACTCACAACCAATCCAACCACGATCACTACGAGAAAACCGAGGAAGGTGTAATACCAGAACGAAATTCGGTAGAACGCGTTGGGCTCTTCCTCCAGTACTCCATGCGCCCTGAAATGAGGTGTAATGATTTGGTGTTCAATTGGCAAACTATACGTACCCTTGGGTTACGTTTGTATTAATTTCACCAGTACATCCTTCTACAGAAAGAGGCTTGGGATAGTCTTTGATTAAACCTTGATATTTGTACCACTGGTTGCTAAGGACTAACCAAGAGTTGAAGACCAAGCCGGCCACTCCGCCACAAAGTGCACCCTAGAGCCCGTACATAGCATCAGTTTCCTCCAATTTTGAATCCTTACCTTAGAATTAGCAAATGGAAAGATCATTCCCAAGGTAAACAATCCCAGAAGTGAACCTGACGTAATTCCACTGAACGTCACGGTTAGTTGTAAAATTCCGCCCATTTTTTCCACAACGAAAACTAGTAAAATGCATATGATACCACCTACCACAACTATCAACTTCAAAATCTTGCTCTTGGTCTTTTCGGTTATCGTATCCGGCACACAGAGTGACACGAAGTCTGAGTAGAAAGTGGCAGCTAGTGTATTTAAGGTCGTCGAAAGCGAGCTAAGAACAACGGATAATTAATGATCAAGACTGTTGCACTCACCTGAGTGCGCCACTAAAAATTCCGGCAATAAACAAACCTGGAAGTCCTGGAATTTTACCTCCAACATCGATAACGTAGTAGGGCACCATTTGGTCAGTGTGCGTCACTTTGCCCGAGCCAATTGGGTCGCATTCTGAGTATTTGGCATACATCATAACACCAATGAACGTAGTAAACGCCTTTATTAGCATCGTCCCAACGCAGAAAATGTAAATCACCCTAAAGTTAGTGGTACAACTAAGCTTGCAACCAGAATTCCAGTTACCTCTCCGCCTGTTTTTTGGTCGGAACCGCCATCACTCTTTGCATTGTGCTTTGATTGATGGATATGTCGACCATCCAAGAAACGGTGCACCCAAGCACAAACGCCCAAAAGCTGTCGCGCTTGGTGGGATCTAACCGAAAGCTTCCTTTCAGCTTTAGCTTTAGGTTTAATTTCATTCAACTACTCACTCAAATATGTCCAACCGCTCTCCTTTGGCAGCCACCTCGACTACATTTCGAACACCTCCCGATGTGGATAAACCCATACCAAAAACGACCAAAAGGCACACGAATATTGAGGTCGTTTGCAGGGTATCTGTCCAAAGGACGGCTTTAAGTCCGCCAATGGTCGTGTAAAAGATACAGACGATGCAAAGGGTTGGGGCGATTACGTGCAAATGTAATCCGGTGGCTAAAATGAGAGATGAGTCCTCTTAGTAAGGCGAAAAGATAGACCTTGAGAGAAGGCAAGCGCCGGCACGTAGATCAGTATTGGATTCAGCAGCAAGACTTGTAGTGTAAACAGTATGGAGGCCAGTGTCCTAATCTTTCGATCGAAGCGCATCTCCAGGTACTGATAGGTGCTGACCAGTTGCAAGTCCAGGAAAACGGGCATGTAGACGTAAACGCACGCAATCGACGTTATAACCATAGAGATTAGTGACCAGATGTAATTGGCGCCGTACTTATAGATATCAGCAGGTGCACCCATAATGGTTATGCCGGAAATATTGCTGGACAGATCGGTTAATGGGATTCCTGAGTGAATGTGGCTTACCTCGATATTAACGACATAGCGACAGGCAATACTCTCATGGTTTGTCCAGCTAAAAGGTATTCCTTTGCCGAATTCTGTTTCGGACCGCAGCAACCGAAGTAGATTCCGATAAGTGCACTTAAACTTAGCATCCCAAAGAAGAATATGTAATCGAGCCATGAAAATGTAAACTGTACAGCCTCTTCGTCCAACATTTTGCGAACACCTAGAAGACCATACGTCTGTGAAGCGGCGCTCAAGACGGAACGTTACTTAATATTGCACCAAGGTAGGTTATTGCGTTCGACGAATGGGTGCACGTTAGATTAAATCTGAAATGAGGATGTACTAATTTAATTCAATTTACTTACTTCATTTGCTTATTTTGAACTGCATAATTTGTAAACTTGTTACTTTAGTGATGAATTAAGTCTATTTATAATTTGAGGAAAACTTTTTATTGGACCAGTCAATCTTACCAATATGACGCATTTTATTACTCCAAATGCATGTTCCTCAAGCGATTTGCATAGCCATTAGCCGATTAGTTGTCCAAGGTCTGAGGCACGTTTCCGATCGAAACTCTTCGCATTTTTTAAATCAGTTTGATTCATTTTCCAATTAGTCTGGAGCAATAAGCGATTTTGTTTACTCTACCTTTTGAGGGGTCTTGCATTGCAATCATATTATTTTTTACTGTTTTGAGTCAGTTTCACATGGATGCTTTTCCAAAAAAATTTGCTGTGGCTAGCACAGATACCACCCGCACACCTGCGCATGCTCGATTCTGCCCTTTTATGCCCAAAAATATGTGTACCAAATTTGGTTTCAATCGGTTCAGCCGTTTAGCCGGAAATGAGAGAGTGGCACACTGGCTTGAAATTGTTCAATTCAAATTGCTATTTTTACGACCGTTCAACATCAAAACTAATAATTTACGGAAATTATGTCTTAACGACAAGCAACTTTTTATTTTACATAAGTTAAATAGCAGTACCTCGTATAAGATATGTCCTCTTGTAGATAATGATGTTGATACAAAAATGCTAAGGGCGGTTATCCCTTACTAATGCAATTCTTCGTACAATAAGAACGTGATGCTAACTGTAAACTGCAATTTCCCGTCGGATTTTCGAACATCATCGAACCTCCAATGTTTATCGATCGCAAGCAAGCAAAAGTGTTATTCCTGTTAAAGTTTGTTATTAACTGATTAAAGGAGAAACATTTCACTGAGTGCCAAATTGTACTAAATTTTTAGTGATGTTTATGTAAATGCGAAAGGCCTTTTTATTACCTTTTTATGGTTACTAATTCCACAAACAAAATTCAATCCCCTTTTGTTCACCAACAACGTTAAGTAACTTAATGCGGAATTTTTCTCTACTAGTTCGCTGTAACGGAAACGAAATATCTTGGCGCCAGTAATTTGTTTTAATTTACGCTACTGAGACGTGAGTATTTCACGATAATCTTTATTTTTTTTTTTAATTTAAAAATTTTATTTAAACGAAATATTTAAAATTGTGTAACAAAGAAGAAAACAATAATTAACTATAACAAAAAAATTTCGCCGAACTGTTTTTCAGTTGGGAGAGTGCCCAGGATACATGCACTATTTCCACGTTGGATGGCCAAGGATATCCTTTAAAATAAAAATTGCTTAGCGCGTTTGTCGCCGGATTCCGCAATTAAACTTTTGCCTATTTTATTCAGAAAATCTCGTGATTCCTTGCACCATGGTCCAAGTGTCTCGAAGGCAAGTCCCATAAATATATAATCTTTCTTTAAATCTCGATATTTGTTGTGTTTTTTTGAGCATGCCTCTTCTGCTGCAGCTCCGGCCCTTATTGAAGTACTTTTAATGTTTGTTTGGGATAAAGTGTCCACACATGTACAGTCCCATGCAAGGGATTGGCCTTTAGCATTTATTGATTTTGTACGATTGCACAATAATTTTTTCTCGTGATGAAATTATCTCGATTTTTGGTATTTGTCTATTTCACTATTTATTTTATGTTGTTTATTCCACTTTAAATTTGTGAACTCTGAATGAATGCTGTCTAGTAGTTAAGTGAGCCATTTTTCTTTAAAATCCACTCGGATTCGTCATAAGTCATAACCCCCGAAATGCACTCTACTTGAGCGGATTTTTTTAAAACCGACGCTCTGAATTTGGTGCGTCATGGTCCTATGTCAGCTATCTTTGGAATAGAAACCCTCCTGAGATCAGATTACCTCTTGTATCTCCGACTCACTGGAGCCTACAAATTCCGGAACCCATTATGAACACAATACTCTATAAAATTTACATACGAAGAATAATAATATGATTTCTAATTTTGAACTGGAACAAAGAACCTGAGAGTGAATATTTCGGTATCGGAGTTTTTAGAGATTAACATTCTGGCGATGGTGGTTCTGTACATCCTTATTTTTCAATCGAAGTTTGCAGATGATTCCAGGATCCTTCGGCGATGTGTGAAATACTCAAGAACTGATTTCGCTGCTTAGATGAAGGAAGCTAAAGTATTAGAGATCAATCGTTGGGTGTCAAAATTCAATGGACTTCGAAATATACTTTGTGCGGGTGTTAAATGAACTTGTTTAAACTCAAGGGCGATTTTTTGCTTTATTAAAAAGCTTTCCTGTCTGCAACTAGAGCACTTTAGTTCTCCATTCTTGTGTGGGACAGCTTGCCTCATAGGCGACTTTGATGACCATGCGAAGGTTTGATTCCATAGCCAAAAACCCTGCGGGATCCGATGTCAAAACGAATATATCAATGGTCAGTTAGTGATGGCTCTTCCGACACATGCCATTTTTGTACTGAGCGACAGGCAGTCACAGTTCCAAACGTTATGTTAATTATCTCCCTTCGTCGATAATTGACGGAGGCTGGCTCATTGTCCTCATAAGGGAGGTATGCGGATCCAAGCACAACTACCCTCCCGCTCCCAGCCCTTTCCACTGTCAGCACAGAATGATAGTAATTTAACGCTATTCCTAGCTAAAATGCACGATCTGGGATTAATTTCGGTTGGCTCAGTAATGAGCAGCGCTTCTTTCTGTCCCAGACCTCGTAGGTCCAAGGTTCTTGTACCAGGACTACATCAATATGATGTTTGCTATGTACAGAGGGTGGCAGATGTCGCCCTACTATATTGCAGATTAATTTGTACTACTTTTGCCATTAATGAAATAGTAACCAGGCTGAAGAGCGGTGGTTGGCACAGTCGATTGTGGTTCCCCTGACGGCCCCCTTGTTACCTCCTCGCCCTCCACCTTCGTCTTGGTGAGTCCCAGTGAGTTTGGTCCATACGAGCAATCAGATTGTGTCCCTTAAGCTCCTCCTTCCTGTCTACCACACGCCATTTGCCGGTTGTAACTCCAGCGTTTTGGAATTCAATCCTTTCAGGCAGTTTTTCGCTTCCCTTCGAGCCTTCACGGACAAAAGTCGTTCTGAAAGCCCGCTAAAGGTTCTGGTATCCTTTGAGGTCCCAGTTTTTGCCTTTTTCAAGCTACTTCTCTTGGAAGCGCTACCATCAAACCGGTGTCGCTTTTGCGTCCCAGTGCGTATCCTGGTGACTTAGAACTCCCAGGTTGCCCTACTTCAGCGGACATGAAGTCAGGTTGCGTAGAGCCCCCTAATCTCTTTTAGCTTCCGGCCCGCATCCCCGGAGAGATTTTAGGCTCTCCAGTAGCAAGTGCTCCAGGAGTAGTTGCTTGTTTTTGTTTTTCCTGGTCCACATAAGTCCCCCAAGTAAGGGAGAAAGAAACCTTCACACGCACGGTGCCCCCTGCACACGTGTAAAACGACTTAATACAACGGGGTGGCGCCCGATGTTCCGAGGTTGGGGCCGGTACCATGCTAATCTTCAATTCATCCACGCATCCTCTCGATCCGGACGTCTGACCCTTGGGATGTACGTTATTTGCTGCAATTATCTCCTCTTGCTCCAGGCGGCTAAGCCACGATCCATCCTGAGCCCACCAGGTTACTGTATGGTATGTTGACAAGTTTGACAAACATGATCACATGGCGGCGCCGTTTAACACTGTGCAAGCCCTTGGCCACGACAGCCTGGGGTGGTAGCTGATCCGCGGTTCTGTCTTTGGTTGCTACGTCACTGTTTCATAAGCGACGATCAGCCTTAACCATAGCATTACCCTTTGCGTCATTTACGCTCATTCGCTACCTGAGGACGCCCCTTTCTGCGTCTTTTAATTTCTGTATAGCATTGTTTTCATAATGGGTTCTGAGTGTTGTGATACTAGTTGTCGTAGTAGCTAGAGCCAAAATGGGTATCTTAATTGGCCTTATCTTCCCCAAACCACCGGAAAAGCGCGAGGGAATTCGCTAGTGCGAAAAATGCTGAATCGACATATTTGAGTAGTACGTGGGTGCCTTAGCTTTCTTTAATTGGTAGTTCAAAACGGAGCAATCGAATCAACGATTAAAGATGTGCTATTTTATAAAAAAAGAGCCATTTTTTAGGCGTTCATTACGAGTAATTTAATTTCGAGATTAAGGGTGAGAATAGTACAGTAGCCATGAACTGCAGCATAATTCAGTTTTGAACTAGGGGAGCCTTGAACACACTGATAAAAATACAGTTTCTTTTCCTGAAAGTGTACACTGTACATTCCGGTGATCGGGATAAAATTTCGTTTATATGTCAAGGGTGGGTGAAGCGTTTGATGAATTTCATAATCGAATTTGGAATTTTATCATGCGGGGAAAAAGTTTAACTTTTTAAAAACCAATTATAAACTATTCACTATTAATCAAGTGTATAAAGTGACGAAGTTTTGCTGGCTATATTGCAGACGATAAAAAAACCACCAGCAGCGATTCAGTACCCAAAAAATTTACATTGCATTGCTATGGTAATTCAAATTCCATTCAATTTTGTATGCGACGGAAACTAACAGACTTTAGGACACATGAGTTTTAATTGTTCAATTTTCAATTTCTATCGGTACAAATTTAATTGATTTTTTTGGATCCGTTTAATAATCCAAATATAAGATAAAAAAAATTTTCTCTGATTAAAAATAGTAATTAGAATATTGCTTGGCAGCTAAGTATTATATCAATTTTTGTAACATTGATGATCCTTTTTTTGGTCAATCGCCAATTGCCAGAATTAATTATTTTTTATTTTTGTGTAGAATTAAATACCTTCTTCGGAATAACCACTTTGATTGGTGATCTCGATATCGATTCATGATTTTGCTAAAACAGTAAGTATAGTGCCCTATCGCAGTTGGGCAATTAGTTAAAAAACCCACTGAGAGGATCCAATGATATTTATCGGCAAATGCTAAAGCCAGCATATCCATTTCGATTGAAGGGACTCTTCGAGTACAATGAATAATTCTAAAGTTGCTACAATTGATGAAATCTTTTTGTACTAACCTACCCTTAAACCACTACATATACAACAACACCATTGGCAAGGGATTGAAACAAACGTCAACAGAACCCTGCGTCTTCCGTAAAAAATTTTCCTCCATCACACCCCACTTGTAGGTCCGCTGAATAGATGGCCATAATTTTTATTCAAAAACGTGTTCCAATTCATATCAGATGAATTACAAACAAGCAAAAACATAACAAATAACATTACAAAATAGGAAGATATAAGTTGCTATAATCAGATGCGGTTATGTTTATTATCAATTTGCTAAAATATTTTGAAACTTTCAGTTAGTGTTATCAAAGGTTTTGTTTCTTCTTCTTGCGCAGAAGTCGATTCGGGAACTCAACTTCGTAAGGTGATTCTTCACCTTCAACTACCCATACGGAACCAGGTTCGCTTTGTTGAATAATGCTAATGACGGATTTTGCTAAGAAAGTCGGTCTGAAAACGTGCACTATATAACAGTAGGTAGATAAAGAAAGTGAAACTTACGATTGAACGGGAATAGAATCGTACTCTTTATGCATAATTTTGCTATAAGCAGTGCCCAACAAGCTGTCGTGATTAACAACGTCGCTTAACGACGCCAGTGTAAAACCTGGACAAACTGTCACGACTTTAATGTTGTTCCTTTCGTAGTGTAACTTCGAACCATAAGCCTGCCCTAGTCCCACAATGCCAAACTTTGATGCGGTGTAAATTGGTGCAGTGGCAAATGCATCCAATCCGCCAATAGATGAAATGTTGATAATTGCACCTTCCGCGCCACTCTTGTATGTTGCAATATAGTGGTCAAAAGCTAGAAGAGTCCCATTTACTGTCCCGTTCTGCAAATTGGTCTTTCATTTCAAATTTGCTAGTTTAGGCAAACTTACCAAGTTGACCTGGATCTCTTTTTCCCAATTCGCATCGTTGAGAATGCCAGCGTTGTTAATGACAATATCAATATTTTCAAAGACTTGTATTGTAGATTTGAAAGCTTCTGCATGGTGAAACTGAGCGGTAGCTAAATACTAACGATCTTTGTCAACTCACCTTCAAGCTGGTACTTATCCGACACGTCGACATTCACAAATATCGCCTTCTCGTCCCCATATTCGTTTTTAATCTCCTCAATTGCTCGCTCTCCAAATACGTCGTTCGTGTCCGCAATTGTAACACCCTAAATTGACCCGATAAAGCAGAGTTAACGATGCGATATCCGTACCTTAATGCCATTTCGCAGCAGTTCCTTCACGTACAAAAATCCAAGCCCTGAAGCTCCGCCTGTTACAAGAGCAACCTTCCCATAAACATCAAACATTGCACTTGACTACTGTATCCAACTTAACTACAACCGAATTAAGCGCAATTAAGATAATGGCTTAATAAAATTCCTTCTTATTTGTATCACGACATGCGTTCAGTGTAGCACTGTGTGGTGCAGACGTATTGATTGAACCTAAGGTCATATTGATATTGTTGTCGAGCCCGATCAAAATATCGTGGTTGCTCATATTAACATAAATTGTCTTTAATCATTATAATTAAAGTGTGATAAATTTAGAAATTGAATAAGTTGCCACTTTTTTTCTTATCGACGACGAAGTTTTTGACGAGATAGGTCAAAGTGGTGATGATACTTATCAGGATCCGGTACTATACAAGGGACGTTTTTAATAGTTTTGCTAGGATCGTACGTCAATGGGCTATGTTTAACTTTACCGCAATTAAAGTAAGAGAAAAACAATATGATTAAGTGGTACTTATTAGTTTTGAACTGTGAGGATGCGAAAAATGAGAATGAAGATTGATTGTTTCATCAAGACGTTATCTGTGAAATTAACTAGTGCTTGGTTTCCTTAAAACCTTTCAACGAAACTAAACGCTACTTGGGAACATCCTTAAAACACGGTACAACATAACCAAATGCTAAAACTGTGCCTTGTAGGAGGGGATTTTGATGCGCAAATAATTGGAATATTATGATGATAAAATAATTTCTTGCCCCTATTTCTGCCATTTCAGGCACGACACCTTTCATTAAAAATCATTTTTTTAATTTCACTGTAGGAATATCAGAACAAGAAGTTAGTCGATCATTTACATGTGGACTACAGTAAACTAGTATGGGGGTGTAACTTTTGTTGTACGTCAAAAATTGTTGTTTCTTTAATCGATTATGCTTAACTGATCCACAAACAACCATTCAATTGCTATTTAAAAATAAAATCCCTTCTCACTTTGATAGTCCAGTAACTATATACATCAGACCATGCGTCAAATCCGGTAGTTCTGGTTTTTTGTGGGATTGCTTATGTTGTTAACCCAATGTATAATTCAAGTTTTCGACCTCGAGCGGCGAACGCAACATTGTCAAATATACTAAAAACCGAGGAATTTTCGTTTTCTTTTCAGATTTTGACGATTTTAACCCTGAAGGACCAGTTTTTCGCCAATAACGGTTCAATAAGTTTTCAAAGCAGACCAAATTTGCTATAATTTAAGCCCACATCCGTTTGTATAGGTGTAATAGATTCCGAGATAATGCTTTTCAAAGATTGTCAAATTTTTCTTATAGAATGTGGCCCGTAGAATCCATAATTTCAAACAGTTTCAAGATTGGGCTACTAGTTCAAAAGTTACAGCCCTTTAAATTTTCTTTCGAAATTGGTTTCTAGTCCATAACTTTTGATTGAGAAGTCTGAATAAATGGCAGTTCAAAATGTACGGAGTCTTGCAAGATCTGTAGAGCAATTGTAGTTTAAAGGCCTGGTTTTTGAATAGATTGATTAAGGCTGGACAGTACACCCGTTCCGTTGCCCGAAAATACTTGATTTCGTTCCACGATATCTTAATTCTGAGTGAAGATGAAGAAGGGGTCGAATATTCCTGTGAAAGGTGAATGCTTTAGCTAGACAATAACGCCGGGGTTTACTAAAATGCTTTAAAATAAGCTCTTTTTTAAGGGCAACGTCGAGGGCTGTTAGGGTGTCATATTTTGGAAAAGAAAAAAGGAAATAAATTTTCCTGGCGTTATTGCCTAGATATTAAGTTTACGAACGTATCTTAATTTTAGAAATTGTTCCAACTTCATTTATAGATAAGTTATCTTGGAAAAACAACTTAAAAGTTTTCCTCAAAAGCGCGAAAAGATAGCTTCCGCCGCGTGGCTGGTTTTATACAGATAGAAAATGGACTAAGTTTATGTTTTTACCATCGAACACAAATTAATATTATAAATAACCAAATTTGGGGATTGACAATAGGCAACTTTACATACTCCGTTCTGTATGTACTGTCCAGCCTTAAATACAATAAGTACTAGTGCGCCATCTCCATGGCAATCGATACACTTTCTATCAATTATAGTTTTAGAAGTCTAGTTGAGATGTCGCCACGTACGCAACTTCTTTTAAAATTTCATTTGAATTTATGCGATTAATAGCAACGTCGCACTTATAATTCCTTAAATGGCAGTTCAAAATTTACGAAGTCTTGCAAGATCCTGTAGAGCAATTGTTGTTTAAAGGCCCGGTTTTTGAATAGATTGATTAAATACAATAAGTACTAGTGCGCCATCTCCTTGGCAATCGATACACTTTTTATCAATTATAGTTTTATTAGTCTAGTTGAGATGTCGCCACGTACGCAACTTCTTTTAAAATTTCATTTGAATTTATGCGATTAATAGCAACGTCGCACTTATTATTCCTTAAATGCAGTGCCGTTTTTAAGTTTTTCGGGGCCCTGGGCCATTCGTTCGTGGAGGCCCTTCTTACCCTCAATAAAAACGGCAGATTGGGGAGATTCAAGCAAATCCCTAATTTGAATATGGGCACTCGATATTTGTGTAGCCTGGTTTGTAGGCAACACATCATGCTCAATGAACAGAAAACATTTTTTTGCAATTCGTAACTTCTTATGCATAGGAGTTTATTTAAAGCCCTTGGAAGAACAATTTCAATAACAGGTACATTAAACTGAACCGTTTTACAACAACTTTCACACGAAGATCGCACAAACAACACATTTTTTCGTGATTGCAAACTGCGTAACACTTTTGCCTTATTTCGCTGCCAATTTCACTACTGTTTCTATAACCCTAGTTCTATCAAATAAATTCTAGGCTCAATTCTTTAAAGAATAGCTTCGCACCATCGCCAGCTGCTGCAATCATGTAATCGTTCCGATTTTAACCTTAAGAAGTTTGAATTGCATTAGAATGGGTTTTCAGCGAGTTCTCCACGGTGTTCTCCTGTTTTGGTTACAAAGCATTTCCCTCTTCAATTTGCGTTGTCTGAATTCAATGCTAACGTTTCTCATCCATCGAGAACTACATGTCTTCGATTGCACGCCCCAGAGCGAACAGTATCATATTCCGCAAAGGTTGAGTCTGCCGCTTTCCTGTCACTCCCAGTAGCCAGTTCCCTAATTTAAACCTGTAAGCGAGAAAGGAATGATAACAAACTTTAATTTTTGACAATAAAATAAACAAAACATTAATTATGCATTTGAGGTTAAAACTTCATATATCTATGGTTTTTAAAAACAGCGCTGACATCTAACGTTAGTTTTATAAAGTACATTACAAACATAGATATATAAATACATAGATACAGCCATACCCCAACATAGTTCAAAAGGACGTACCATCTATTACCATCACTTTCGGCACATTAATTACGTATAGCGCTATCCTTTATAGAGGTACCCTGAGCATGGAAGACAAGATTCGCATTATTTATTATAACTGTCAATCAAATTGTTAGCACAAATCACACAGAAAATTATCAGATTTGAAACTTTACAACATAAATAAACCGCCTTTTTATTTATTTAAATCGCATAGCAGCAAAGAAATGTTACATTTAAAATGGAAGATGTTACTTATAAAGCTGGCAAATGAAGAATTTGAAAAAATTACAGCTGACAACTGGAAGAAAGTGTGTGAACATGTGGAAAGTGATTAATTTAAAAGAGAAGTTATATTTGGTTGATGTTGCTGAACTTTATAATACCTAAGTGTTAATAATGACAGTGATGATTCAAATTTGTCAATTTCATCTGACGATGATTCGGATTGTGAGCTTTTACAAACGTAATGAATGTTCACTAAATGAGTATTATCACCAATTGGATATCATTGTTAAGGTGTTGTATTTATTTTAAATAAATGTACACGTGTAGCTTACTTACTACAATTAGCACTATAATTTCAAAAAGAAACCCCACCGAATGGACATATGCCGAAAGGTAGGCAAGACGCGTAGCGACCAAAATTTGATATTGCACGCACACACAGTCTAAAAACTCGTTTTCCTAAGAATATTGGACGGATCCTTCTTTGTGATCATGATATAAACGCACTGCATCAACATCATATAGGCCAAAATAATAATTGGAAACGAATTCACTTCCTGTCGCAACAATTTCCTTTACCATTACGCCTAAAACCATGCAATTAAAATTAAAATGTTGAACATAATCTTTACTTACTTACGGTTTTTTTGATATTCTGCAAGCCAGCAATGAATTCAATGCAGCACATCATGCCAAACAGGGTAAACATTATCCCAAATTTGAATGGCGTAGTTCGATGTAATAAAACTATTTCAGGAATAACAATTATGGACGCGTCTATCATTATGGCAAGCACTAATGTTATTCGTATTCAATTGATAACGCAATAATTACATAATATTTAGTGAAAAAACCGCCCATCATGTTTAGGGCGAATATTTTTAGTTAGATTGGATTTCGCGCTATCGTGAAATGGGTCAACTGTCACATGACTTATGGGACGCGCTAAGTTTGTTTCAAGCGTCCGATTCGCGTACGACATAGTGGTTAATGCAATAAAAAGAGATAGAACATGTTTCATCTTGGTTAGAAAGTAATGGAGAGATGTACAAATTTCTTTGATATGTTTTTTAAAAACCGAGGTACGTTTGTTAAGGATGGCTGTATCTAGGTATTTATATATCTATGATTACAAATATAGTGTGGCGACATCTTTGAGGTGTAAGTTTCAACTAAAATAATGGTGGTAATAAAGTGTCCTGCATTTAGCGTTAAAATGTTAGTCCCCAATAATAAAGATAGATGTCAGCACAATGTATTCTGCTTAGATTATTTTAATATTAACCAAAAACTCAGGCAAGGCTATAAACATTTTGGGATTTATGCCTTTCGCTGTCAAAGGAGTAAACCACGAAACTCGAAAATTAAACATTTGGCTCCTGTATTATAGCCTATTCCTTTGCGTCATAGCGTTTTTGGAAATGCCAAAGGACAGGGCGGGTAAACGGATGCCCGTCCGTATGGTATACCTAGATTTTTGACGATTTTAATAAAGTATCTGTTCGCAATACACGATTTAAATCGCCATAAGAGTACGCTGCAATAAATAAGAATTTTAAATCGGTGATCATTTTAAAGACTTGAGAGTTAAGTTTCATGTGAGTTAGGTTAGATACAAGATTTGTAAAAATTTAAAACGCCCAAACTAATCTGACCTAACCTAACTACGACTCTAACCCAACCTTCAATCAACTTCCTTGAACATTATCATGATACCAGATTTTTGACCTAACCTAACTAGCACACTAACCTAACCTCACTAAAATTTTATTTTAACCTTCGGTCTCCTCGCACATTATATTCTCCTGATACCAGATTTCTGAGCTAACCTAACTAGCACGCTAACCTAACCTCACAAAAATTTTATTTTAACCTTCGATCTCCTCGCATATTATATTCTCCTGATACCAGATTTTTGACCTAACCTAACTAGCACACTAACCTAACCTCACTAAAATTATATTTTAACCTTCGATCTCCTCGCACATTATATTCTCCTGATACCAGATTTCTGAGCTAACCTAACTAGCACGCTAACCTAACCTCACTAAAATTTTATTTTAAACTTCGATCTCCTCGCACATTATATTCTCCTGATACCAGATTTCTGAGCTAACCTAACTAGCACGCTAACCTAACCTCACTTAAATTTTATTTTAACCTTCGATCTCCTCGCACAATATATTCTCCTGATACCAGATTTCTGAGCTAACCTAACTAGCACGCTAACCTAACCTCACTTAAATTTTATTTTAACCTTCGATCTCCTCGCAC